AAAGCATGGTCCCCAGACCTCTACCCCTACTACTCTGTCCCTCGAAGTGTTTGATTGTATTCAGGAAACTTAACTTTGGTTTAGTCCAGTTGTGCTGACTTCCCCTGTAGTGTGTGCTGTCCTTCCCTTTACCTAAGATAATTCTTGTCTACTATCTAGTTAGTGAATAACTCTCACCCTTCCTCCCCACCCTCGTAACCATCAAAGAATGTCTTCTTCTGTGTTTAAACCATTTCTTGAGTTCTTATAATAGTGCTCTTATATAATATTTGTCCTTCTGTGCCTGACTAAATTCACTCAGCATAATGCCTTCCAGATTCCTCCATGTTATGTTTCACAGCTTCACTGTTGTTCTTTATCATTGCGTAGGATTCCATTGTGTGAATATAATATAATTTGTTTATCCACTCGTCTGCTGATGGGCACCTAGGCTGTTTCCATCTTTTTGCTATAGTGAACACTCCTGTAATGAACATGAGTGTGCATATATCTATTCGTGTGACGGCTGTTATTTCTCTAGGACATATGCCAAGGAGCGGGACTGCTGGATCATATGGTACTTCTATTTCTAGCTTTTTAAGGAAGCACCAAATCGATTTCCAAAGTGGCTGTACCACTTTCTATTCCCACCAACAGTGTATTAAGTGTTCCAGCCTCTCCACAGCCTCTCCAGCATTTATTATTTTTTGGATTAATGGTAGCCTCGTTGGGGTAAGATGGTATCTCATAGAGTTTTGATTTGCTTTTCTCTAATGGCTAATGATCTTGAGCATTTTTTCATGTGTCTGTTAGCTGCATGAATGTCTTCTTTGGTGAAGTGCCTGTTCATATCCTTTGCCCATTTTTCAGTTGGGTTATTTGTCTTTTTGTTGTTGAGGTTTTGCAGTATCTTGTAGATTTTAGAGATCAGACGCTGATTGGACTTGTTGTAGTCAAAAACTTTTTCCTAGTCTGAAGGTTGTCTTTTGACTCTTTTGGTGAAGCCTTTTGATGAGCATAAGTGTTTGATTTTAGGATGTGCTGCTCTTAAGAGAGGTCCCTGGTACATGCAAAAGGGGCATTTGGCCTTGTCATGAAAGGCTTTCTGAGGATGCAATAGCTGAAATCTAAAGGACATTATCTAAGCTGGTGGTTCTCAAGGAGGGGAAACCCTCGTGGCATAGTGGTTAAGAGCTACAACTGTGAATCAAAAGGTCAGCAGTTCAAATCCACCAGGCGCTACTTGGAAAGCCTATGGGGTGGTTCTCCTCTGTCCTATAGGGTCGCTATGAGTTGCAATGAACTCGATGGCAATGAGTTTCGTTTTTGGTTTTTCTCAATAGGGGGAGGGGATTGCCCCCTTCTCCCTGCAGAGATATTTGGCAATGTCTGGGTACATAACTGACTATCACAACTGGGGAGGTACTATTGGCATCTAGTGGGTAGAAGACAGGGATGATGTTAAATATCTTACAATGCACAGGACAATCTGCCACAACAAAGAATTACCTGGCCTAAAATGTCTGTAGCGCCAAGGTTGAGAAACCATATTCCAGGCAAAGGGAAAAACGTGAGCAAAGACCAGTGGTGGGAGACTCAAATATGGTCAAAGTGGTTAGAGCCAGATCATACAGGGCTATCATGATCATATTAAGGAGTTCTGGTTTTATCTTAAGAATGATGGGAAACAACAGAAGGATTTCAAGAAGAGGAGGAGCTGGGGGATGAGGACATTGTAGTGACACGCTCTATTAAAATTTCAAAAAGGTTACTATGACTGCTCTAAGGGGCATCAGATTAGAGGGGAGTGAAGATGGATATAGGTGGATGAGTTGGGTAGCTAAGTAACATAACTTTGTAGAAACTCCAAAGGCTGGAGAAACAGAAGGTGGTAGTAGTAATGATGTAGAAGTAGTAAAAAAAAACTGTTTATAAATGTTCATTATGGAGAAAGGAAAAGGCAAAAATGCAGGGTGCTACATGCACTGCCATTCCTCCAACATGTGGTTTGTGTGGTAGCTAGCTATGTGTCCTTCATTCAGAGTTCTCCCAAGGTGAAGCAATAATCTCTAAGAACAGATGCGTTCCTTGTATTAAAAAAATAAGTGGCAAGAATATTCCTTCCTCCTCTTTGAATGTGACACGTGGTAACTTATGAAGCACTTTATTTGTAAGGATTTAGGAAGCAAATTATTTCAGTGCTTATTTTGGCATACCCCTGTCTTTCCATGCTTTTAAGGCTAATTGTATTCAATAAATAAGCTGGAAAATAGCTTTAAAACATAATCCCAAACTGGAGTAATTAAATTTTAATGCACAAGTTATGATCCACATTTATAATCTGCAGCTTAGGAAGTAATAAAGCCAATGACCGGCTCCACTTAGTACAGTTTCAAGAATATGTTTTTCAACTGTGAATTTAAAGCCTAAATAGAAAAAATTATTATAAACTATTTTATTGTAAGATATATCATACACAGAAAAGAAAGAATATATAATGTATGGTTAAAAGAAGAATAACAAAACCAACAGTCATGAATTCACCACCAAATGGCAATTTTTTAAATACCAAAAATTTTCAGTTTTGTTCTACAAGCTGCTTTTAAGAAGATAAAGATCTAGTTAAAATTAAACAAACGGCATCTCAACATTTTCCACCATTGGGTAGGCGTACTATTAAATGAGAAGTAAACCTCTCTTCTTGAAACACTGAATAGAAATATCATATATGAAAGATTAAAAAACAAAAGTAAAAAAATTTGGTTTTATTTCAATTTAATAACTGACACTTTTCACATTCCAGTTGAAAGTTAATTCGATTAACTAAACAAAATGGGTCTTTTATTTACTGTTTTATCAAAGTAAACTCCATACTTTGTTGACATTATCATTTAAAACATATGCTAAAACTGGTCTTATTCACTTCTTAAAACTAAACAGTGGAAAACAAAAGCTTTGGATAGTTTAGCCTTTTAAAATGGCCTAATTTTCTCTAGTGAAATAACAGATTCATAACTGACATATTTTGGTAATATTATACCACCTTATCATCCCATCCCAAGATATTTATTTGTACATTATGTAATATTTCGTTAAGTATTAAAATTTGAAGTAAGATTTATATTTAAATCAAATGCAATAATGTATCTGGCATCCAATTTTGGTCAAAAGTCATAGCATTGTACTAAAGGACCATTAAACTATAATGATACATACATGTCTTTTAAATAAAGAAAATATCTTATTTCTTTGAAGAAGCTACAGATTCAAACCTCAAAGGTTCTTTTAAATCAAGAATTATATGGCTTGATACATGTTTGGCTTAAAATTACACAAGGATAACCTGAGCTTCATTCTTCCCTGCCATAGAGCAAGAAGGGACCTCTTCAACTTAACTAGTAACAGGGCAAAAGATTTTTGCTTTTCAAAAAATAAAAAGCTATCATGAAAATTTACCTCCAGTTCAGTCTTCACATTTCCTCCTATTAAAACAGTGATGGTATTAATATTAGTCCTTTAAAGAATTACTTACCCTATGAAAGCCACCATCTGCTCCACTATGTGTTTGCTGAATGTTACTATAACAAAGATTTTCTGTAAGAAGGAAAACCCCAGTTAAAATAAATATTTACTCTTACAAAAAATAATATACATTAGCAATTCTATCAACAGTTTAAAAAAGTGAAGTCTTACCTCAGAAACCCTATGGAGCAGTTCTACTCTGTCCTATAGGGTTGCTGTGAGTTGGAATTGACTCGACAGCAATGGATTTGGTTTTTTTTTTGGTACTCTATCATAATTTTTAAAATTACTTAAACATAAAATAAAATGCATTATTTGAGCCACAAATGTTACCTACTTTATATTTTAACCCTTTGGCAATTGTGGAACATAAAGTATCCCAACCACTTTTTATGCTTCTGGAGTTCTTTGGGAAGGAGGTGGCTAGATTTTAATGCCTTTAGCCTCAAAGTGGGAGCCCCTGAAATGGGTGAAACTCAAGAACCCTGAGCTGGAGCCTCATTTTTGTGTAGACTGAGCACTGTCTCAGGTGACACCTCCTGGATGTGTGAATTTTCTAAACTTTTGACAGGTTTGCCTTTATTTCTGTGAGAAAAGCCTCCTCACTATGTTTCCCAGTTACTATGTTCTCTTGAGAATGTACTTATCATGAGAATAAGCTATTCTTAGCCTTCATTCAGTAGTAGTGGCCATTTTCTCCATGATGCCATTCACTGTTTCCGGGTATTACTGCTTTTCTAGCTTCTGAACAGTAAATAATGCCTTTGCAATAAGGAATAATGCATTGCAGTGGTACTTTTCAAGAGACTCTGACTCCTATAAGTTATTCCTACCCCGCATTCACTCTTAGGGCCCAATCATTGCTTCCACGTGTAGTAGGTGAATGCACTGCTGTGAGTAGTTCTGCAGTATTCCAGGACAGCTGTTTCTGCTTCTTAGTTGTTCGTACTGCTTTTGTTATAATGAAGAATACATTGTAGTGGTAATTTTCCTGAGATTCCAATTCTTTTAGTTTTATTTATTTGACCTGTAAATACTGCTTTTGTAGTAATGAAGAACGCATTGTAGTGGTAATTTTCCTGAGATAAAAAATCCCTTGTCTCTATTTATTTGGGTTGTAAGTACTGCTTTTGCAGTAAGGAAGAATGCCTTGTATTATGTTTTAAAAAATTTCATGAGAAATAAAAGGTTAAGAAGAATGAAACTAGAATAAAACGTATGTGCAGTCATTGTCAAGTGCCTTCATGGTTTGCAAATTTTCAAAAAAAAAACAACAAAAAAAATTATTTTATCATTCACACATATCAGCAGGATCTATTACGTCTAGGGTCCGCTGGGACATATGTGATCCCAGATAATGGGTATCAAAATCCATAACTCATAACAAAAATTCTAAATTGGTCCTTTAATCAGCATGCCTTCCATTAGTGAAAACACATGGTATCAACAAAAAATTCAAAGCAGAAAACAATTGGGTCACGAAAGGGTTACAGATGTTTTTTTCCCAAGCATAGTTCCAGTCTTAGTAGGATGCATAACCATGTCTGAGGGAAAATATGACTCATGAAACCCAACACTGGGAGGGAATGATGGACATTCCACATGTTCACTGTATCTGAGAATGGTGTATACAACTAAAGTCCTGGGTCATGGGGTTCCCATATAGCTCCCCACTGTTGAAATTAAAGCTGACCACCCTGGTGACAGGGGTCCAGGCTAAATCTAATCCACAGGATCTTGAAAAGACTGTTAAGTTTCATAGATGGCTTTTATAGAAGGAGCCTGAAAGTTCCATTCCCAGACCCTGAATGATCTTGGGCTTTCAGAGTAAGGACAGAAGCTACCTATCAGATGTAGGAAATTTCCAGTTTGGTGTTTACGAAGTAAAAAAATCAAAAGCAGTTGCCATGGAGTTGATTTTGATTCATGGAAACCCCCTGTGTGTCACAGCAGAACAATGGCTGATTTTTTGGAAGTAAACTGCCAGGCCTTTCTTCCAAGGCACCTCTGGATGGACTCAAACAACCAACTTTTCAATTAGCTGCCAAGCACCTTAACAGTTTGCACCACATGAACCACATTAGGGAATTCCTTAACAAAGTACTCTCTATTAATTAAAGATGTTGATACCTTACTTTACCCACAAGTAAAGATATCTTTAGGGCTAACAGGTAGCAAATATTCTCAACTTGATCAACAAATGTTACATCAAGTACCTACTATGGACAATATAAGGCATTGTTAAGGGTTTTCAGGGAAAACAAAGATAAGAAAGACTTCTTTAATGCCCTGAAGATGTTTACAAACTTTTTTACAAATGGTAGAAAAGTATAAAAAATAGACTTAAAAATATAAAACGGTAAATGTCATTAGTGGTAAAAACAACATGTTATACAGGTTCAGAGAAAGGAGACGTCACATTTAATTGTATGATTAACAAAAAACTCAAAAGGTGATATTTAAGTTTAGCTTTAAAGGATGGATAAAAATTTTTTCATTAAATATGAATAATTCTGGGTTGTCATTCCAAATTCCTGATAACCAACACTGTACAGCTTTGTTATTGTTTGTTAAACAATTACTTTAGCCTATGCAACCAAAGAGGAGAGGAAGGAAATAAAATAAATAGCAATGGTCTTCTTTATATCCACCCATTATGAATCTCAGAGAAGTGATCAGGTTAGACTAAAGCATTAAGGGAGAAGACAGATAATAACATTTTCTTAAGCAATGCCCTAATCTCAACAGCAATACCGGCAGCTGTATGATGGATATACACAAGGAAATAAGACTGAATAAAAAAAGTTCACAGTACTTTTTGGTGTCTTTTTTTTTGTTTTGTTTTTTTTAAATATATATACCTTTTAATTTGAAAAAGATTGAGCCATCTCAAGGAAAAAGTCAGCATATAAATATATCAAACAGATATAAGATGGATAATGATTTTATAAATTATGATAAGCAAGTGGTATATGAAGATTACGAACCTCATAACAAGACAATTATGAACTAAATACAGACCATTTAGAGAGCAAAGCATTAATACATGGGGTCCTTCTAGTATCCATATTAAAGGCCAGTTACTTGGAGCTATAAATCTTTAACTAATAAACAGAGCTAATGGTTTTGCCTCTCAGTGATTTCACCACGAGTCTTCCCTACCATCATTTCCTAACATTCAAAATAAGCCAGTGTCTAGATAATTGCACAATTTCATTGCTCAAAAACAAAACAAGATTTTCTTTTATATGTAACAGCTTGAAAATTCACTGTGCTGGGCAAGGTCAAATACGCCAGACACTGAAGAACATACGTCCCACAGTCTTTCAGGCTGTAGGTCTGAAAGGAGATTCTACCAAATAAACAAAAAGCAAAGCCCACTTGACCACCTGCATAGAGGAAACAAGGGAGAGGGTTGCGGAGGATGGAAACAAATATGAGTGCTGGGAACTAATGGTGCCAGAATTAACAAAGAAGATACTATCTGTAGAGGAAGGATCCTTCACTGGAAAGAAGAATCTTAAACTGATTCATTCAATAAACATTTATTAAATATTTAAAAAATATTTATTCATTTAATAAATATTTACTGAGTGCCTATTTACTGGGTGGTACAAATGGTTAAGAGCTCAACTACTAGCTGAAAGGCTGGTGGTTCAAACTTACCCAGGGGTGCCTCGGAAGACATGCCTGGTGATCTGCTTCTGAAAGGTCACAGATTTGAAAATCCTACGGAGCATTTCTACTCTGCACACATGGGGTTGTCATGAGTTGGAATCAACTTGATGGCAACTAACAACAGCGGCTATGTGTCAGACACTACTCTAGTCTTAGCTAACCAAAAGACAAAAATCCCTGCCCTCAAGAAGCTTATATTCTCCTTTGTGCGTGGGTATGCACGTGTCTGGTGGCAGACAGAAAGGCAAGGAGGCAATAAATAAGCATAATCTGGTATGTGAAGTATTATGAGCTTGTCTTTATATTATTTGGAAGAAAGGTAATATCCTCCAGGGCCCTTCTACAGGTAGAAGATGTGAACCTGTCCAGTGGATCCAGGAGAAGGGAAAATCCTTATATAACATAAGTATGTGGGCTGATTTGAAATTTTTAGGGAAAGCTTAATAGATAGCAAGACAACAATAAAAATTAACAATGTTAAACAAGGAAGGTTATCTGTTGAGGAAAAATGGAAGAAAGAGAACCAGACGAAAATAGGTTTAATAGAGTTCAGAAAAACCTGTGTGTGGGGATTCTCCCCCACTATTATTTCAGAAATAGTTAAATGTTTATATTACTCGCTAAAATTGTTTACCCAAGGAATGAGAAATGTTTGTTGCCCTAAGCTACATCTGGATGTACATCAAGTGACATGCCTTTAGAAAGTATGTCACTATGATACAATGGAACATAGCAAACATATCCCATGGTCTCAGTTTAGTGAAGGAATTTAGATTCTTTCCTTTTGGTGACATAAATGGATTTTAGCCTTTTTTTTTCTCTCCCCTTCCATATGGACACGTGGAAAGAGCACTGGCTTTATAGATAACCTACAGGGTCTTAGGCAAGTATTTTATTTCACCTCTGTAACACTCAGTTCCCTTACCTATGAAATGTGTATAATAATCAACCTCATAGGATTATTCTGATAGTGAGATAAAAAATGCAAATTACCTAGAACAGGTTCTGATAAATAACTGGCATTAAACAAATTAGTTTCCTTCAGCATATAAATAACTTATGGTTAAGAAGACAAAGCAAAAGACTGGAAAGAACACTGAACTTGAGCCAAAAAGATTTGGGTTCAAGTTCCAGGTGTTAACTATTCTCTGTTTTTACCAGCTGCTATAGACTCAATACCAACTCATGGTGACCCCGTATGTGTCAGAGTAAAACTATGCTCTACAGATTTTTCAATGGCTGATTTTTCAGAAGTAGATCGCCAGGATTTTCCTCTGAGGTGCCTCTGGGTGGACTTGAACTGCCAACCTTTCAGTTAGCAGTTGAACACATTAACTGCCTACCTACTCTTGTAGGCAACTTATATATTAACCTCTCTCTAAGCCTGACATTTATAAAATGGGTCTAGTAACTCCTTTATCCCAGGAGTATAAGAATTAAATTACATGGCATATACTGATTTAAAGTGTGAAGCATTATACAAAAAAAAAAATTTATCATTATCATAACTTGAAAAAAATCTAATGACAATGTTTAGAAATTTACTAGTTTTGAATCTTCTGAAACGAAAGATCCTATGTTACACACCCTATCACTATAGGATACTTTTGGCCTAATAAATTTTACTACAATTTATAGAAGGTTACTACATTCAAGCAGTATATAGCAAGATGTATAAAGTTTATGGATTTCTAGAGAAGTTCCTGTTATAACAGGAAGGAATTAAAATCTGTTATTGTTCCTTAGGTATTAATACTTTCAAAAGACTTCAAAGAGCTAAATGATAGCTCCCATGCTCCCACAGAAAGAATGAAAAAGATTAACAAAAAAATTATCTTCAAATACATGGCAAAATAATTTATCATTCACTACAATATTTTATTATTTGAAAAATCCTCTTATGGTATGTGTTTTAAATCTTTACCAAAGTAACCAGCATTCCAATATTTAAAAACGTGTGTTCATTACACAATATATCTAATTTACATCAGGGGAAATAAATTCCTTGAAAGAGGAAAAATATATCCTTGAATTTTTGGGTGGCTGCAGAGGAAAGATGTGGCGGTTTGCTTCCATAAGGATTTATAGTCTTGGAAATCCTAGGGGGCAGTTCTACTCTGTCCTATGGGGTTGCTATGAGTCAGAATCGACTCAATGACGATGGGCTTTTTTAAATTATGGTGGTAAAGTAGAGGACAGACTCAATACACTGATCCCAAATCCAAAATCTAAGATTAGAAACTGGGCAGGTAGAGGCAGCTGAAGTTTTCCTGTTTCATTCTTTTCCAAGAATTGGAGATACAGAGGTATTAAGACACTTGGGGATAGATGTGCTTTTAATTATGAAGGGAATCATACCAGGGCAGAGACATTACTTCACTGTTCCTGCCTTTCCTTTGATGAATGTCCCTCTTTGTTGAAAACCTCACTGTTTAAAAACAAATTCCTTCCACATTAATTTTATTCAAGTGAGATTTGCCCCTTAGAAGGAAACAATTCATATCAGTCCTGGAAACACATATCTACTTCCCCTCATTTAAGTTCTTAGTCTCTTTTCTCTCCTTTATTACACAAATATACAGTTATCTTCAAGATTTTGATAAGCTGAGCAGCAAATTCTCACTTCTTTAACCACAACCCACATCTCCTCGGCCCTTCATAGACCCCTTTCTTCCTCATCCTCCCCCACACAAACATCTGGCTGGTTTTTGGTAAAGGATATTGGTGCCATGAGAGGAAATGCTATATAAAGTATGTGAAATAAAATAGTTATTAGTGAAAGGCAATATTCTCTCAGCTCGTGGGCAGTAAAGAAACGAGATTTTTTTTTTTTTTTTACTGTGTATATAAAAATGATGTGCTTCTTCCTATACAGGGACATTATTTTTGTTTGGTAAAAGTCTTGGATAAACAGTTTCAAAAGGCAAAAAATAAAATAAAATGAAGAAAGGGAAAAAGAAAGGAAGGAAAGAAGAAGGGAAGTAAGGAAGAAAAAAGAAGGAAAGAAAACAAGGAGAAAAATAATAAACGGATCCAATTTTCCATCAGGGACAGGGAATTCAAAAACCTCCAAGTGACGTTCCATGCCTTAATACCTAAGCAAGCTATCAACCAAAGAAGAACTAGTATCTTGAAATGATCAACTGAAATATGTTTCAGTCTCTCATCATCATTAGGCATGGAAGCAGAGGGTATAATTACCTGGATATGCATTTTAATTATTGCTTTTCCAATCAGGGTTGCACCAAAGAAGGTCCAGAAAGGTACAAGAAAGTGTCCACATGTTATTCCAGCCAGATCAAACAGAGGATTTGGAATCTAAAGAGAAAAAATAATAATTAAAATGGATTTCTATATATAATCAAAATAATAATTTAAGTTTACAGCCTATTGGTATGTGGCACTTAAATCTTGTTTACACTGCAAAGTGAGGCTTGGGTTCCCTGGTCAGCACCAGACTGTTCAGAATGAGGTTAGACAAGTATCCTAATGTGTCTATAAGCTGGATCTCATTCATTTCAGGGACTGTTCAATCTGTTCACTGCAACCCAGCTGTACTTTCGCTTGTATTATTTATGGTTAATGCCCATATTTTTCTTATCATCACGCTAGAACTGGATAAATCCAATGGATCTTTAGGATTTTAATCCCATTCAATGGATATTTGACCATTTGGTGGCTGTTTTCAAAGGTGAGGTATGAATGAAGAACGAATCTTAATGAGAAAACTGTGGCTCAAAGACTAACTTAATTGAGTTCACATAGGTATTAAGAAGCATAACTAGTTTATGAACCCAAGTCGGCCTAACTCCAGAGCCCATTCTCCTTCCACTATATTACACTATAACACACCTATAACTTGCTCAAATAATGGAGATCAATATTGTGAAATAGAGCTTCTGCATTAAAAAGTTAGATTATAAAAAACTGCCCAGGTCAGTAGATAGTAATTCAGAAACATGTATGTTTTGAAATCTCTCTATAATACTGACATCACATCAGAAACTTTGGGATCAAATGTCTTTTTTTTTTTTATTTTGGCCATTTGCTTTGAGTCACAAGATATACTCGTATTCTAGTACATAATGGAAAAAGGAGCTATGTGCCACCAGACAATAATTTTGTGAATTTTACTTATAATTACAGCTTAAATCATACCAACTAGGTACTTATTATTCTGACGAACTGTGCTCAGGCTACAAAAGAAAATTTTGATTAATGTGCTCCATCTCAAATACTTATTTCATTACGTTAGAAAAAGACCAGGATGAATAGTGACTCTTCAACCAGGAATGTCATTTTACAAATTTGAAATTTAAGACATTAACTAAGTTTTAGACATAAATGGCTTCTTAGTTCTCTGTATCCAAAGACATCCTTAACATAGCCACAGATATTTCCATTACCCAGCCAGGAGTTAACGTCACTTAAAACAGGTTTCATATGAGTTCTTCCTTGTAACTAATCCTTGAAACTTAGAGAAAAGACTACCCATATATAACTCTGTGGAAAGAACAAAGTCATCTTTATTTGGTTAACTGCACTTCATTATAAATTCTTCATTGGAAGGATGGATTTTTGTCTCTTTTGTTCTTATTGAATCAAGTCATTTAGGTCTGAATTCATCATTGTGTGATGAAATGCTTAAAAATCAATAAACAAGACATAAACCTATCTAACAGAAAATATTTAATGAGTAAGATGAATGATTAACAAAATTACATACCCAATAAAAGTGATAGCATTTTTGTTCATTTTACAGTATATCTTTAAAGACAAATAGGATCAAAATATAAATGTACTAAATAAAATTAAAAAAAAGTACTATTTATTGCAATTTCTCACTTTTAAACAATTCACTTACTGAAGCACAGGCCAAAATTCCAAAAAATCCAACCTTCTGTACTAGGTTTTGAACTGCCAGTTTAGCCCGGGAGGCAAAGTCCTGTGTAAAAAGAAGATTTCAAAACATTAATGAGAAGTACAAGGAAGAAGAATAGATGGCTCTTTGTAGAGTTTATAATATTAAATATCTCACAACCTGAAGGCATTGATTCAAATAATGAGTAAGATGAATGATTAACAGAATCAGATCAAGTTGTTCCTGAAAAGATGAAAATAAAATCCTGACAGATCATTACATCTTTAAAGTTAAATCCTTATCACATTTCAAAAATAACGCAGAGCTTTGTCACTTTGTTTTTAGAGTTCTCTCTGGATTATCTAGGGATGAACAAAGTATCATAAAGCAATTCATTATTTTAGAAATACTAGCCTACCACATCTCTCTCTGTCCTTTCCCAACTTGCTAGACTTACTCTCCCATTAATATTAGGGCAGGAAATCACAGGCTCTTAAGAAAGCCAATGAAGGCACCTCTGAAGATGGAAAAAATGGGTATGTGGCAAAAACTAACTCATTCATTACCCCAACAGCAAGATAGCACCCTACCTTTCAACAACCCTGTGGTACAAAGAAGGTATTATTATATCCAATTTATATATCCAATCCAAAACTGCACTCCAGATAGGTTAAGTGCTCAAGGTCATAATGTTAGTAAGGGACAATGTCAGGACATGATACAGTATTGTTGTTGCTGTGTGCCAACGAGTCAATTCCAATTCATAGGGACCTTAAAGGACAGAGTAGAACTGTCCCATACGGTTTCCAAGGCTATAATCTTTACGGAAGCAAACTGCCACATCTTTCTCCCATGGAGCGGCTGGTGGGTTCGAACTGCCAGCCTTCAAGTAGTAGCCAAGTGCTTAACCACTGCGCTACCAGGGCTCCTGATAAAAAAAATTAGGCATCTGAAATCAATGCTCTTTTTATTTCACTGTGTCACTTTCCATGCTAAAACACGTATTCTGCTGGTTAGTTTATTTAGGTGGTTTTCTTCCTTCAGTATGTTAATGCTACAATTATACATATATATTTTTTCTCAGACGTTCCAGTCTGAAATTTGACTCTAATTCTTTTCCTGCTTTGAAAGGGCACATACTCTAATTAATTGAAATTCCACTGAAAATAGTTGCTATGATAAAAAAATATTAGCTAATATATGAACATCTTTTTTTCAGTTTTCACATCATAGAATCTCTTTAGTTCAATGCTCTAATACACAACAAGCTTATCGAAAGGTCAGAAGATGATAGACAGAAAGGAAGAGCTACAGAGGAAAAGCTGCTGTATAAGTGACATGGGATTTAAGGAACTTCAGAGAATAGGAGCAGAAAAGCAAACTGGTTGAAAAGTGTACTTCTCTAATCCACAACACAATTTGTGTATTCCTACTTATGAAACACTTTGACAAATAATATTATATAGACTAGACCTAGCAGGTTATCACAATAATGAATACTGATAATGTTGTTTTTATAATACATTCTCCCTGAAGACTTGCTGACGATGGTGAGAAAGTTGAAAGGAATTAAACCAATAAACTATATTTAAAAAGATATTACATTATAAACACATCCAAGTTCGAATACACAGGCTCTCAACATTAGTTATTAGTTAAATTCTACAAAGCAATTTTGCCATTTTACAGTTTATTTCCAAAGAAAGGATTTTTTTTGGGATTAGTGTTACTATTTTAGAAGTATATGCATGCTGTCAAGACAAAGCAAGTCAATGTCATTAAAAAGCGGGGAGAGGGACTGTTTTAGATTAAGAGAGATTTAAGAAACCTAATAACTAAATGCAATGTGCTAACACTATTTGGAACCTGATTTGAATAAACATTTTCAAGCATGTGGGGAAATGTGATTGTTAGGATATAATTTGTTAATTTTTATGTATAATAATGATATAGTAATTGAGTCAAATATTCTTATTTTTAGAGATACATACTAAAAACGCAGAGATGAATGACATGCCTGGTATTCGCGTTAAAATACTTCAGGGAAGGGGGCATAGAAAAAGGAGAAGATGAAACAAGTATAGCAAACTATTGTTAACTGTTAAATCTGGGTGACAGGTATATGAATGTTCATTATACTACTTCATTTTGTGCATGTTTGAAATTTTTATGATAAAAAGTTAAGGAAATTCACTGATCTAAATTTATAGCACTAATTTAATATGCCAAACAGCACTGACAAAACCATAATTACACAACTGTTATATTAATTCCACAGGATAAGGTGCAGAGATAAGAAAACATGAATATTATTATTTCAAAAATCAAGACAATTATATCAGATTTAATATTTTTGAACAACTGAACTACAAAGGTGCTATTTTTCTATTGCATTAAGTGTGAAATACTGACTTTTATTGAGTTAAAAACTGTTTAAGAATATATAATATTGAAATTAATTTTCCTACAAGCTTATTTTTAAAACAAACTACACTTCTATTTCTTTTTGACAATTTATACAATTAATCCCCAACTTACTAAATTTGTAATTCACTTGAAGCAATATAATAAAAATTGATAACCCATAACGAATAGAAATGTTTTAGGTTTATTAAATATCAATAGATACTATTAGATTATTAGCCAGTTATAATTTTTTAATTACTATAGCCAAGAATTAAAAATGTAAAATCAGAACAATGCCTTCCTTTACAGCCCTTGAGCAAATCCCCTTTAATGAGAGGCAAGACTGCACTCAACTGCTAATAAAAAGTAAAATGAACAAAAAACCTCTACAAATTTTATCCTAAAGACAACACATTTTTATAAACGAATCCTTCAAGTCAGACAAAGGTGGAAACATTATTCTACTATAGCACTTATGTAGTTTACAATCTATAAAATTGTTTAAAAAAAAAGTTTTTCTGCATAAAATTATGTAGATATGAGCAACAAAATGTTATATTTAGAAGGTGTGGTATACTTGTTTTCTTAAAGGTAATTTTCAAGGTTTTAGAAACTTATATTTATCTAAACCAAGAGACTAAGATAGTGCCATTATTTCAAACTGATGGCATTTTCCTACTAGATTACACACACACACACGTGCGCGCACACACACGCACACACACACACAAAATTTTAAATTAGAAAAGCGGCATGATTATACCAATTGTTTATGTAAAGAATATAATGATTAAACATTATGCAAACCACCCCATATACAAAATAATAAAGATATTTAAGGCTACAATTTCAAGGAATTAATATTTTTAAGACTATCCTGAGAAAGAAATCAACTCAATTCACTGAACATTATTAATAAAGTAGAATGATAAGGAGCTATTTTTCCCCTTTGGAACAGAGTCTCTTTATTTAACAGAAATTAGCCAAGAACAAAGGAAAACAGACTCCTTGTTCTTTCAGACGTCTAGGTGCCCATCATCAGTTACTCTTAAAGGTGCTTTAAGTATCTTTATTTGAGCAAAAAGAGTTAATCTTTCTAAAAAAGTTAATCAGAAATCTCCTTTTACTTCTTTTTTTTTTAAATTTGAAGCTGGCATGTCTTACAAGGAAAACAAAAGTGCCTTTTTAATGGGGAGTTTTACTTTTTTTAAAGACTGAAAGGGATCTGCTGAAAATGGATTTCATAAATCCATTATGTGTTTAACAACGCACAGTGACCATGATACTTTCAGTTCCTATAATTTTCCCCCCAGATCTTTCACAACATTCTCAGAATAAAAATTACATTTATATATTAAACAACCCATGAACATTTATTTAAACTAAATTAATATGAAGTCTACATACTTATTTTCATTAAAGGAAACCAAGAGTAGGAGAATATGCAGTTTGAAGAGGGGTATGTTCTTAATTCTTCCCTTGCCAGGGTAACGAAAACATAAATCAGGGAAGCACTGTATTAGTATTTGCACCAAATATACAGTCTTCTCAGGTAGTTAAAATAACTTATGTTTATATTTCATAAACACAATTTAAATTAAATTTATTTTAAAACAAATATTGCTGTTCTTTTTTAGGCCATCAAGTAAAGTAAATAGGACAACAACAGAAGTGCACCAATGATAAACAACAATATTTTAAAGAAAAACAGAAGGAAAAGATTAACAAAAAATTAGTACATTAGGTACTGAATGTTCAAGTTAAACAGAAAAGGAAATTAATATTTCATGCAATGGTTTTGTTGTGTTTGTGGGAACAATGTAGCAAGTTCAATTTGATTACTTCCTCAATTGTCAGTCTCCATTTTCTCAAAAAATCTGTACAACTAAAAACAAATTCCTTTTAATAGTTTCATTTCTCTGGATTCAGATTTCACAACTTAAGTGCTAAAGAAAGCTTCACTGACAAAGTTTCTCAAGATCCACCTAAATAAGTAGCATGCATTTATAATTAGTAATCACATGTTATTTTCAACCTTTTTTTCCACAGAAATAAACAAGCTTACATGTAAATAAAATTACCTCCCTCTTCCCATCCATAGTTCGTATGTAACCAATCACGATTCTAAAAGAGTGACACTAGGAGCATTTTCCCAGTGGCTATAAGGAGACAGATGAAGGAAAGTTACATTATCACTCAAATTTCAAGGATTAATAACGAAAACCACATAAAGCCATAAAGTATGGCTATTGCTTCACTACTGTTGCTTCAAATTTCCTTTTCCTAAGAGATTTATGATTTAGGAGGAAGAGACACTGCAAGTCTAATTATAATTAGCTTGCAAAGTACTAACTGAATCTAAAGATATCAACTTGGGTGTAAATACATGAAATAACAGCTATCTTCAAATGGTAATGGTAAATTTTTTTCATTTTCATGATGAATAACCATATGAAAGACCTCTTTAAAAGCAGAGAAAATCTCTAAAGATGTTACATGAATGCAACATTAGTGGAGATAAACAAATATTTGGTTGATATCTTATGAAAGTTAGAGTTGCCTTAGAGTTAAGGTAATGGTAATAGGTCAGCTGTTTTATAAATTACCTGTTTTCTTAACACATTATAAATTAAAACTTCTGCTGAGCTACTGCTCCTCTTGCGTTTGGTGTCAAAGCT